CCAAGCCTTGTGACAGGTATCGCTGGCTGAAAAAATATTTTATCAGTCCCAATACTGATTTGTCTGGTCCAGATATCACAGAGGATGTAATTTTACACAAAGACGCAATGCAGCAAGTGTGACGTCTGTCTGGTGCTTTTCTGACGACAGGAACTGTTTTTGGGACTACCATTGTATTCATATTTAATAAATGACTATTCATAACAAATATGACTGATGTGTGATTATTATTCATGCTATATACTGATATAGGGCTAAGTAAGCAATCAATCCTGCAAATGAACCCTTAGTTGTTCAATATATTTATTCAGACAATGTGAGTAGAATTACAGAAAATTCTCCTCCCGCCAACGTTGCAATATTACAACATTTCCCTAAAAACTTACCAAAACGTAAACAATTTTAAAACTCTTTTATTTCTGCCCCAGAGGCTCCCTACAACAACATCTGAAAGGTCAAAACAAAAATTTGAATGTTTTTCTATATTTGGGCTTTACAGGGTTAAAGGTCAGTCCATCTTCAGTGGCTACACTTGGCAGCTCCCTGTCCTCTTTCACCATTTGCATCGAGGCAGAAGTTACTATGGCGACAGGGGATGTGCTTTTATTTTTATTTGACAAGTTGCAGGTTAATTATTATTTTAAAGTTCTTCAAATATTTCGTTTTTAAAGCCAAATATTTTTAGTTTAGAACAGCTTCCTGCCGCTGCTAATGGAAACAATGCTAATGTTAGCATTAATGCTGGGAGCCTAAAGATCAAAACAATGAGCGGAAACTTAGAAATGATAAGATTAGGTACTTTTTTGTCCCAGGGAGCTACTGTTCAACAGCTGCATTAAACCTAAAACATATTGTGGCCAAAGCCCCATTAAAATAACATTCAGAGAAGAAAATATGTAAATATTGCACATGACTGGCAAGACGAATCATTAATCATTTACATGTGCGGTTACAAAATGACAGATATAGTTCTAGTTTTGTTAGGGTATTCCTACCTTGGAGAATAACCCTGCAGGCTGTGTGTCACTCTGTCTCATTCCCTGGTGTGTGTGCTCTCCTCTCTTACAGGGTCTTGAAGCATTCTGTGGACGCTACCTTTGAAGACAAGGGCCCCAGTCCAGGCTACAGGATAGAAATGTCCATCTTCTATGTGGTGTATTTCGTGGTCTTCCCTTTCTTTTTTGTCAACATCTTCGTTGCTCTGATCATCATCACCTTCCAGGAGCAGGGAGACAAGGCCATGTCTGAGTGCAGCTTGGAAAAGAATGAGGTAAAGCAGAAAGACAATGTCATCTGGACAGTCTGAATCCAGTCTGAATCCCGCGCACACTACTGTAATCACTATCTCCATCATCAGGTTTACCTAATTTTGCCTTTTTGTTTGCTGGATATTCTCAAATGTTATGAACAGATTTTCTTAAAACATTGAAGAAAGGCTTGTGATAAAGAAGCCTGAGGAGCTCATACTGAGGCACAACCAACATGTCTTAAAAAAATTTGCAGACAAAGGTTTTGCTTATTGGTTTTATGGAGGTGTGATAAGTGTCTGTATTAGAGATAATGTAGAATTACCTCATTTTTAAATGTTGACAGTGAGCACATTTATTTTAGCACAGCACAGTGAAAACACATTGATAAAGCCATGTAAGAAATTCTCGTTACATTTTGTGAATTGAAAAAAAAAAGCAGCTGGGACTAGAATGTTTGTTCGCTTATTGGTAATCAACCAAGACTGGGGTTTGCACACAGACAGTGAAGCAGAGCTGTGCTTTCTGTTCCAGAGGGCTTGTATTGACTTTGCCATAAATGCCAAACCTCTGACCCGCTACATGCCCCAGAACACGCAATCCTTCCAGTACAGGATGTGGAAGTTTGTGGTCTCACCTCCATTTGAGTACTCCATCATGATCATGATTGCCCTCAACACTGTGGTGCTTATGATGAAGGTAAGAATTTATGAGTTGGATATTTTAACCAACATAATGCTAAATGCATGTCGTTTGTTAGGCCTTTTTGAATGTTATATGGAGTCAGTCCTGGATTCAGTAGCTCGTGAAAGTAACATCTTGACGCTTTGAGACATATGCTAAGTTTGTTCCCTGATACCTTTCCCACGTCTGCACAGTAAATATGAAGCAATTGCCAGAAGCTATTTCATTAGCATAAAGCCTGGTGGAAACAGCTAGCCAAGCTCTGTATAAAGGTAAAAACATGTTTAAAACCTAGAATGAGATGATGGCCATCCACATGCTTTCTGTAGCTTCATACAGTATGCACTGAACAAACTGAAACAATGACTTCAATTAAATGTATTCTGTCAACACATTTTGCATAACTGTATTAGGTTAGTTGAAAGCAATAATATTAAGTTGAACCTAATATGTTTTGTTTAAATATTATATTATTGCTTTCAAAACTCTGTTGACATAATACATTTCATTAAAGTCTACATTTAGGTTTTTCAGTGAGGGAACTGGGATCATTGTGGTGTTCATTACCTTGCTCAAGGGCACCATTGCAGTGCCTACGACATGAACCGGCACCTCTCAAAGTACCGGTTCACACCAAATAAGAGTTTTCCAAAATGCCAAAACAATAAATAAAATATATTACTCCAACATGTCAGCAAGATAACTTTATATGACGTTGTCTTTCAGTTCCATGGAGCTCCAGACTTTTATGAAGCGATGCTAAAGAACCTCAACATCGTCTTCACCACTCTCTTTTCTCTGGAGTGTATCCTCAAGATCATTGCTTTTGGTCCATTGGTGGGTAATATCAATGAAACAACGTTACAAACTCTGAGTAATGAATCACAACTAATGATTTTCAACTTTTGCTTCTCAGAACTACCTAAAGGATGCCTGGAACGTGTTTGACTTTGTCACAGTGTTGGGCAGCATCACTGACATCCTGGTGACTGAAATCAATGTAAGAGCAGCCCAATAATTAGAAAGAAATCCTGTTTGTTCAGCAGCCCGTTATCCAGAAAACAGATGCCTATTGTTCCAAAGACCCATTGCTCCAAAAACACACTAGTCCAACAAACAGTAGTGACTTGTTATTATGCAAATTGACTGAAGTTTTTTCATATTAAGGCGAATTACATAATAGGAAAAATGCCACCCTACAAAGTCCCTATAGCCTCTGATTGGCTAGGCACTTTATCGGTTGAGTTGGTATAGTTTATGCCTGAGAGGTTTGTTTATGTGCAGGATAAAACATCTGGGGAGGACAACAAGAAGCAGAGTTGGGCAGTGCAAGGAAAATAATATCAATATTGGATCAGGAAAGTCACAATCCTTCTCTTGTGGAGTGTTTGTTTCAGTGCGGTGTGTAATCAGAGCTATCAGGCCTTGGGAGCAATGGTCGGTTGCTTTAGTTGCTGTCACATGAATGCCCTTTGTTTTTTGACAGCCTTGATATCTTTCCAGACACTCTGTGGACCTGCATACATGTGTGTACTGTGAAGTAGCTTTTGACTGATTTACATGTGTGTATTTGGTGAGCTGTATCAGTTTATGTTGGGCAATATGACTGTTCCTGTTCTCCCGCCTCTCCGTCCTCTCTCCTCACCTCCCTCTGTTATCCCTCTCTCTCTTTGTTTTATCCCTCTGTCTGTCTGTCTGTCTGTCCGTCTGTCTGTCTGTCTGTCTGTCTGTCTGTCTGTCTGTCTGTCTGTCTGTCTGTCTGTGTGTATCTCTCTCTCGCTCTCTCTCTCTCTCTCGCTCTACGTTTCCATCTTGTCAACTGTCCTCCATGGTGATGCCATGCCCTGGTCCCAAATCACTAGACTACGGTGAGTGACTTTGCCTGCTCTTTAGCTTGCCTTCTTTCTTATTTAATATATAAACAAGATATGATATGATCTATAGATCAGGCTATGAATGATACATGAACAAATCTCTCTGTGTAAACCATCAGAATATAGATAGTGATTGGACTAGAACAGTAAGTGCTACTGAAGCAGAGAATTCAGACTTTTTGAGAAGATAGCCTTTAAACATATGAAATGTAGACACTGCAGGTGCATTTTTAACTAATATCTGTTGACATGGAAAATCCCCAGATGCCATGCCTGAGGGGGCTTTATTCCCCATTGTGTCAGTCTTTTTACATCAGGAAGTGAATTGACTTATTAATATATTTTGTCAAGCCATCATTGCAAAGATAAAAAGGTGTCTTGCAAACCTGTCTTTCTTATCATGAATTGCTGATGACATCAGAGGGGTTACTTTCTCAGAATGGACAAAGCTCCTCCAGCTTCTGATGTTCAAATGCACCTTGAGGCCCAAAGCAGGAGATGGTTTGTTTATCCTCATATCCTTGAGTGTCCAGTTAGATGAATAGAACATCAGATGTGCTCTGTGTGTAGTGTAGATTTATGTCTGCCCTTTTTACAATAAAGGAAAGACTCACAAAGTTTGGTAAGAAATCCCTTTTTGTTTCCACAGACTGTTTCTTTTGTGATATTACAAGGAAGTAACATCAAGCGAAATCTTAAACTTAAAAGAATAGAAGATTTTATTTCCAATCACGTACATTGAAATGTCTTTAAGCCCCTGTCACACTGTCCTGAAATTGACACCCGATGGACACACGAATATGGAATTGTGAATTTTGCACGAAGATGGCCCCGAACCACACACAAAGGCAACATTTACATTACATTTAAGACATACAACTGCAACGAAAGTAACAAAAACGATTATGTGTGAATTATATGTTATGATACTGTACTGATATTTTCAGACTTTGTTCTTTACTTTATCTGTCTTTATGTGTAGAAGATATTAAGTTTTCTCCGTAATGTTGTTTCCATAGCAACAACAACTTCCTGTCAACTCGCCTTCAAAATAATATATTATATCCTTTTCAGTTTCACAGAACAAAAATTGGGTTATTTACATAATATGTTTACCTGATTTTGTTGTGCAATAAAACAACCCGATGGACACACGATAAAGGAAATGTTCAAATTCAGCTCTGATCGTAACAACATTGGGACATTCGTGAGGGCATCTTAAGCCATCGGCAGCAACTTCGTGAGCGGTGGCAAAATCTTTGGCATGCCAAAAAATTGTCGAAAGACCTTGCGAAGGTTCATTTTCGTGTTGAATTCGTGTGTCAATTTTGCCCTTCGTAAGGCCATCGTGAGAGCATCTTTTTATCATCGGTGCCATCGGGCATTCGCCCCGATCAGAGTGAGGGCGAATGCCCGATGGCACCGATGATAACAAGATGCCCTCACGATTTGGCAAGATGCCCTCACGAGTGCCTTACGAAGTTGCTGC